AGGTTCGTTAAGTCCATGGAGAAAAAGGTAGAAGGGTCCACTATGGTGGACGGTCGAGACGTCTCAAAGCTACTCGTATTATGGACCAAACGAGAATTATAGGAGGTCGAGGGAGAGCTGAGGAGAAGAAATGAAGTGGGGACAGATAGATAAAGATAGATAGAGAGAAAGAGAGAGAGAGAGAGAGAGAGACAGACAGACAGAAAGAGAACGAGAGAGAAAAAGAGAGAGAGAGAGAGAGAGAGATGGGAGAAGAAATAAGCGGAATGAGTTCATCTCGGTTAATGCAACGAGCTAAGTTAACTCGTACATCCTTCTTAACGTGCGTATCGCGATTATGCGAGCCATATTACCGATCAACGTGTACTACATTTAAAGTTTTGCGAAGAATACTTTTGCCAAAAAAAAAGAAAAGAAGGAAACAAAATTAGTTTCTCAATTCGTTCGACGACAACGCATGAGTTTCTTCCAAAATAAATTAATTGAAAAAAAAATAAGGAAAAGAAAAGAAAAGACAAAAGAAGAGAGAGAGAGAGAGAGAGAGAGAGAAAAGCGAAAAGAAAATGACACTTAATATTGTTTTGCATCATAGACATTATTGGGAAATTTCCAACGCATCTGTGCACAGGTAACTAATATTACCTACCGCAAACAATTGTATCGATCGTATTTGGTAATCAAACCAATTTGCGATACGCCATTTTAAAAACGAACATAGGAAAATTGTAATGACCGTGTCAATAATAATTCCGCATTACAAATAATTTATTCCCAACTTTCATATGTATTAATCTTTCATTGCATTTCACAATTAACTTCATCAAACAAATGTAACACGTCAATATATACACACATATATATATATATATATATATATATATATATATATATATAATAAATTTTATATTATATTATTATCAAAAAAAAAAAAAAAAAAAAAAAAATGAAAAAAAGGAAAGAAAAATCGTATATACTTATATTTATGTATGATGTGTGTGTGTGTGTGTGTGTATATATATGTATGTCGTAACATCGAGAATTCCAGTGTCAAAGTAAAATTTCTTAGCTCTCTTCTCGAGCTCGAAAGGACAGTAGAAGGAGGAGGAGGAGGAGGAGGATCAGAGGTAAAGATCCGGCTCGCCTCTTTGTTCCTCGTAATAGGCTATTTTTCATATCGGACAGATAAATGGAGGAGAGTCGGCAATACTCGCTCGCCCCACCTTCCTCCTCCTCCCTATCCCCCACCCACCGATGGTATCCCATCCCTCCTAGCCCCTGTCTCGTCGTCGTTCGTTCGTTCGTTCGTTCGAACTCAAATACCATTCGAGATGAAGGCCCTCATCCGCGGTCCACGTTCTCGAACACGATGCTCGCGTACTCTCTTGTGAAAGGCGAAGCTCGCAGGAGGGATTACGCGCGTGCATCCGCGACTGGCGAATACGTAATCCGGTCTCGCGTTCGTCGGTCGTTGCGTCATCGAAATATTTCGGACGATGTTGGAACAACGAGCCGGTCTCCCGGCGCCCACGCTTTCGATCCTGGAAAAAGAGTATACCTACCATATATATATATATATATATATATATATATATATATATATATATATATTCGACGATTTTCGCTTTTAAATTCACCGCATCGTTTTATCACTTCGTTCTAGACCCTGGAATTCGCTCCGGAATTTTTATTATTTCGCATAAATAACTTTCTATTCCTCGCCCAAAGACAAAGACGACTACACCAGAGAGTTAGCCATTTTTATTTTTTTTCCTTCCATTTCCTTTTTTTTCCTTCTGTTTTTTTCTTTTTTTTTTTTTTCTTTTTTAAAGAAACATCATACTTAATAGAGTTTATGTTGTTTATTAGAAAAGAAATTAATATCCAATTCGGTATTGTATCGATCGAGAGGTAGAAAAAAAGACGGCTGTAACTCGATGTTTACGTAGAGAAAAGAATTGCCTATGAATGGCTCCGTATTGTCCGAGCGATCTTATCTTTTTCTTTTTCTCTCTCTCCCTCACTCTTCAATGAATGTCACCATCGGAGATAACTTTTTTATTCAACGATCGGAGAAAAAATATGTCTGAGATAAAAAGTTGTCAAGAACAAAGTGGAAAGGACGTGGAAACGTTTAATGAAAATAATTTCGTTTCATCTATGGCTAAGATATAGTCATCGAGTCGAGTAGATAATATGAATAGAAGACGAACATAGATACGGGTTTCCCTCACCGTGCGCTCGCGCGCACATCCGCACGCGCGCTCACACACACACACGCATACGTACAAAATAGATATATACATATAGATAGGTCCTTTGAATTTTTGGCCGAAGAGCGTCTAAATCCGGTAACAAACGTTGCGATTCATAACCGTTGTTTACGAGGGACTATAAAGATTCTTGTGTAGGAAGCTGACGCTATGACAAGGTGAGGAGGAGGAAGAAGAAGATGAGGAGGAATGGGAGGAGGAGAAGGAGGAAGAGGAAGAGGACGTAGAAGAGGACGTAGTCGAGAGGATCGAGCGGAAGAACGGGGAGACTCTTCAGAGAGTAGAAATCTCCTTCTCAAGTGGCTCGCGCGTTCTAAACAATTCCGTGATGCTACTGCGTCAGGGTTTGCTGCAACTGCCGCTGCTAGTAGTACTGTTACTGCTGTTGCTGCTGCGGTTGTCATTGCGCGTTGCACGTCGCATGTAGTCGTTCTTGCGGGAATAGCAAAGCTCCTACATCGATGAGAGAACAGGAGTAGTATATGCTCAGGAGTATTTCGCCGAAGAGTCGCTGAGAGAAGAAGGTCGCACAATAGGAAGGAAACATGCCAGGACGATTTATCGACGTGCTACTATCAAAATTCCTTTGAAAATTTCACTCATCCTCGGACAGGACCACACACACGCTCTCTCTCTCTCTCTCTCTCTCTCTCTCTTTCCCTCTCTCTCTCCCTTTCTGTCTGTCTCATGCTCGAAATTTCGTTGTATGTCAGATGTTTTCCATTTCATTCAGGAGAGGACGAATCTTGGAAAGAAACGAGGTCCGAGATGGGTCGATCACAAAAGAGGGTGAGAGATGGGAGGCGAATCGTTTCACCCGTTATTGATCGAAAACGCGGGATGAGAGAGAGAGAGAGAGAGAGAGAGAGAGAGCGGAGAAGGCATTAGGAATCGTTTGGCGCCGATAGGATGATTTCGTAAATCGTACGTCTGACTATGCCGTTACGCGAATTCACGGAATTACCGGCGGGAGTCCGTTAGCATTTTATTCTATCCGGAACGGGATCGAGCACATCCGAGAGAACTAGACCGTTTTTCGCCGAATCGACGAGGAAAGAGAATAAGAGAGAAAGAGAGAGAGGTGGAGATGAAGAGGGATAAAGTAGAAGGGGTGGCTTTAGTCAGAGGTTTTTCCATGAAACTTTCGTCGTCGCGTTACAAACGACGCTTTCCGATGTCCAATCCGTCCGATCCGGATTTGCCGGCAATTTGTTTCGTTTTAACGCATTAGAGATTAATTCTGTTCGCCGCCGTTTTCTACCTTTCTATTTTGTCGAGAACGTGTGTTCTGGTTCTCGCGTATAATTCGCTCGTTAACGATAAAACAATTCTTTTTACGGTTGATAAACGGCCCGTGTGTGTTCACGCAGAAACACGTAATTATTGTCGAGAACCGTTTGGACGTTCATGTATTTTATTTTCTATATAATCTATATATCTATATAAATATATATATATATATATATATATATATATATATATATTACACAGGCATCTATACATCTCTATAGCAATCTCTATTTCTCTCGATTTTCGCGGATGAAGAGTATGTACGAGGAGAATTTTGTAATGGACACTGATTTTCTTCTTTACAACGCGCCCGAAATGCTCGTTGATTCGAATAGCTCGAAACGAACGAGAATACATGGAATGGATGTATGTATGTGTCTATGAATGTACCCGCATATTTATAGATACGTACGAGAGTGAACATTGCAAATCGATGTAAAAATAAAAAGATGTAACGAAAAAAGAAAAAATAAATAAATAAATAATACGAAACCTAAAAAGAAAAAGGAAGAAAATAAATTGTTACGATAATTGTTATATTACTCGGTTTACGTGACGTTAAAATATATGCCATTTCATGATAATCATAGAACTCACCATCTTATTATAATATTTCTATCTTGGTCGAATTAAATTTCACGAATAAATAAAATTTACGAAAGGAAACTACTATATAAGTTTAAATAAGATGAAGAAAAGACAACGTGAAGGAGGTGTAAACGATCGCGTAGAAGTTTAGAAGCTGCTCTTGGATAGGAGCCATTTCGTAATTGCATAATCTTTCTGGCGTCTAGCCTGACAAAGGTCTGATAGTTCTAATAGACTCTACACGTTCCTGGATATACACGCCCTCTTAGTGTCTGTGTCCAGCATCCTCTGGCTTACCTGTATACGCGAACACATACGATGCGGCCAGCGACCCTTAATGGCTTTAGCAAATGCACGCGTATCAATGGTATACCGTTCTGTGTTTGCATGGATCGTTCGATATACGTGGCGATATACACAGAGAGACAGAGACACAGAGAGAGAGAGAGAGAGAGAGAGAGAGAGAGAGAGAGAGAGAGAGAGAGAGAGAGAGAGAGAGAGACAAGAGAATGTACGCGTACAAAGAACATGATGCAGCGTGAAACGACAGCTATCACTGAAATAGAGTCGAAAACCATAGAAGATCCTTTCATCTATTTCTCTGGTATCGTGCTTTGCGTTCATCCCTAAATTTGTCTTTTGAAAATTGCTTTTTACACGTCGATCAATTGAAACGAACACCGTATAATAGTACAGACGTGCATATCGTAAACCGTTTCATTCTAGAAAGAAAAGTACGGTTAGAATGAAAATTAAAGACCAATAAAGGAAATTTTCTTTTATTTCTGCAATGTTTGCAATTATATATTTTTCTTTTTCCTTTCCTCCTTCTTCCTTCTTCTTTTTTCCTTGTTCTTTTTTCCTTTACGTTACATCCATCCAACGTTAACGAGAAATGAAGAATTATGTAGGAGTTGCTATTTCCTTATACTTATATTGAAATTAAAATTCCCAGTATTCACTCGAAGCTCGTTCTCGTACTCCCCCGCGATAAACATAAATTTTAGTCCGTGCCGAACATTATCCAGGGCTGACGCATCGGAGCACATGAAATACTGTAAAGGAGAACATCCTATATATATTACTATATATACATAAATGTAATATATATATATATATATATATATATATATATAAATAGGTAGGTATGTATCTATGTACGTATATATGTATACATTGACGCATACGTACCAGATAGGTTAGATACATATTTACCCATATCAGTCGTAGATGGAGAATTAGGGGAGAGGCATAGAACTCGTCGATATCGTGCATGCACAGAGCAGAGTTCCATTGAAGAAATAAATTTAACAAGCTTGCCTGCCAGGTGGTAGCCGCACGGTCTTCGACCTAGCAACTCACCTCCTTCGACTTCGACGTATACGATACGCGACCTATGTGGGGTTAAATGCCGTGCAGCCTTGTTGCAACCTGCAGCTCGAGGTAAAGAAAGGAAAAAAAATAATAGAAAAAAAGAAAAAGGGGAGGATAGGAGAGGGATAAGGAAGGGAAGAGATAGGGCGGTAGACCGGGTACGAAAAAATAAGGGTTGTCTTTTGCACCGTGCAAGAAAGCAAACGAGCAGCCAGACTTTTCTTCACGGATGATAGAAAAAGAGAGAAAGAGAGAGAGAGAGAGAGAGAGAAAGAGAGAGAGAGAGAGAGAGAGAGAGAGAAAGAAAGAGAGATAGAGAACCGGATCGAAAGGATCAACGTTGAGACTGGTCATGGTTTTCTCCTTTGAACAGGCTCTTGGCGACCTGGTGCCAAGTTCGAGGGCATAGACCGGACACATGTAAGAGACACGGCTCGTGCGTGTCCGGAACTTCCAAACAGCGCGACGTGTCCTTCGCTCTCGCTTTTTATTTCTTTCCGCTACATGGCTCATTCCCCGTGAGAGCCGGATTATGATCTCGAGAGGGGGAGAGAGAGAGAGAGAAAGAACTAGCGAAACGTGTGAACGATTTATGTCGTCTCCTCGGAAACTCGGCGCAGCTTTAGGATGCTTAGTCGTCGAGATAAACGATGAGACATTCGTGAATGTTTTCCCCCGAAAAGTCCGTTCGTTTTTGAGCACGAAAAGAGAATGGACCCCTAAGCAGATGCGAGAATACTATTCGCTCGCTAACATTTTTCTTCTCATTTTTTTCTTCCCTCTTCATTCTTTGTTTTCTTCATTCTTCTTTCTTTTTTCTTTTTTTTTTTTTTTCCTTTTCCATAATTCTTACGAGAATTGTTTCCGGTTAACGTGTTAAGAAATAACTTTCCATAGATATATACATATATATATATATATTTTCTCTGTTATTTACTTAGCTACACCTATCTAGGAAAATTCAATAACGCAAACGTTTCCCATTCGAAATATGTAATATATTATGCACCTTTGATATTTGATATAAGCGATTTATAAATGACATATCCATCCGAAGAAACATTATCTCGGTGGGTCGTCGTGATCGAACTGACGCGTTTCTTTTTCGCAAAACGAGATACTTCTAACGGAATAAGCCTCGCGTATATTTATTGTACACTTGTACCCAGCTGCTTCATCCTCTCTCTCTCTCTCTCTCTCTCTCTCCTTCTATCTCTATCTCTCTATCTCTATCTCTCTATCTCTATCTTTATCTCTCTCTCTCTTTCTCTCTGTCTATCTCTCTTTTCCTCTCCGTCAATTCACATTGGAAAGTGTTCCGTCGGTAAATGCATCTGGATGTGAGCCAAACGGATACACGTGTGTAATATTATTGTGCATTGATTTTCCGCCATCCAGTCGTCGTTTAGTCAAATTTCTTCATGGATGGCTTGCGAGGCGTTCGCGCGGGCGCATTTCAACGTGTTTCCTCTTTTGATGACTATTCGTCGACGAGTACCAAAAGGTTGGATCCTCGAGACGACGATGACTCTTCGTAAGCTTTTAAAGTGTATAAAGAGAGGGAGAGAGAGAGAGAGAGAGAGTAAACCGACGAACTCCAATGCCGTTAAGTTCCATTTTAACATCTGAGTTTATCTGTAATATATAAACGGACGAAGGATTAGATCAATAAATTACAACGTGATTGTTAAGTCTTTCTATCTTCGTGGATCATTTTTAAGTCGAATTGGATCAACGAACGGATATACATAGATATATCACCAATATATATACTGCAAATTACTTGCGCCATCGACTCGAACAGAATTCTTTTGTATGTTTACGAGTATCGAAGTAGAAATGGAAGTAAAAGTAGAAATGAAATAAGAAGGAGGAAAGGAGAAGGAGGAAATGGAAGTAGAAGAAGAAGAAGAAGAAGAAGAAGAAGAAGAAGAAGAAGAGGAAAAAATATAAAAGAAGAAGTAGAAGAGGAAGAAGAAGAAAAAGGGGAGAAGAATCATGACGATGAAAAATCTACAAGTATGTTACAACTAGACTCGCCATTATTTCGCCGGTGTTATATAACGCTTACGATATCTTCACAGAGCTATGAACGATAGACGAAGAGTCGCCGGTCATTTTCGTGGATTGATCCATAAACATCTAACGACGACGTGGCGACGCCTAATGGCGTAACGCCGTAGACTTTGCGATCGATCGGATATTTATTTCGATATGTCTAAAAGAATTACAAGCCGATTTGAAGGAGAACAATGCGGTAAAGGGAGAAGGGCCGGCGATTGGACCGGGGAGATGGAAGGTGGGGGAATAGAGAGTGGATGTTTAATATGTTATACTTTGAAAAGCCTCAGATCGTACCAAAGATTTCGTATACTCTTATCGTATTATCGAAACATAGATAGTAACGATCTCAAACGCACGATAGCGCTCGATGATCCTTCGAAGGGATATAGAGGGCAAACGGAATATCGGTACTCGAACGGACCACAAAGGGACGGTAATCTACGACGACAGGATGATATCTATCAGGCATTTCCTTCGATGACCAAACGCGACTTTGTGCGACAAACACGCCTACGTGCTTATGTATCATACGATATATATATATATACATATATATATATATATATATGTGAGAGAGAGAGGTAAATATATATATATATATATATATGTATATATATATGTATATATATAATGTATATAGGTAGATAGTAACGTATGTAACTACGTTGCGGTTGTAGAGTGGGGTAGGTATATACGGCATCCATTGGATAAAATCCATGACGAAGTTCGAAAGCGATTCTAAGAAGCCGCCTCGTATCGCGTGGGGTGGTTCTCGGTAGTTTAGCCCCGCGATTAGTCACCCCCCCGCCCTTTGCCCGAACTATACCCCTTATATCTTTCCTCCTTCGCGTTCCGTATTGTATATGGCGTAGGAGCTCCCTCTTCTTTCGTGACTCACTGACGGAAATTACGATCGATCGTACGAACGAACGAAGAAAAAGAAGGAAGGAAGGTCGGTAGGCAGGCAGTCAGGCAGGCAGGCAGGCAGGCAGGCAGGCAGGCAAGCAGGCAGGCTAGTCAAAAGGGGGAAGGAGGGGTCCTTCTAAGGGGCGGGAGGAGGAGGCGGGGTGTAAAGGGGATGTTGGCAGGGTGTACGAGGGATAGCAGCGAGCGAAAGGAAGGTGTCCTCCTCCTATCGTAAATGCGTTTACGAACCCGATGACACTGGATGACGGAGCTTCCGCAGCGAAATTTATTCTCACCACGCGTTCTCGTCCCGTTGATCTCGTTAGATCCTTCGACGATGGCGTTGATCGTCTCTCTCTTTCTCTATGTCTCTTTCTCTCTCTCTCTCTCTTTCTCTTTTTCTCTGTCTCTGTCTTTTTCCGCTTTCTTTCTTCCCTCTCTCTCTCTCTCTCTCTCTCACAATGTTTCTCTCCTTTTTTCTTTTCCTTTTACTCTCTCCTTTTTCTTTTGGCCTTCTCGCTTCCAAGAGCCCGCACTAGAGTCGATACTTAACTCGAAAATTTCGTCAATTTCGGCCAATTCCTAGGCGGGAATCTTCGGCAGGCTGATCCAACGAGAATCACCGAGACACGACGTCCTTGTTTCTTCGACGTTTTTCGATCATTTTTTTTCTCTCTCTTTCTCTCTCTCTCTCTCTCTTTCTCTCTCTCTCTCTCACTTTTTCTTTCTCTTCCTACTGTCTGTCTTGTTCTCTTTTGTATGCCACGACGCGGAAAGAAAGACGAAGAATTCTTGTTTCTCGTGCAAGACGCGTCCTACGTCTTTTGAATCTAGTCTTTGCTCGAAATGATGATAAAGCGAGAGAATGGTGCTGGAATATTTACGCGAATGCTCTTTCCCTTAGTATAGTAGTGAACGGGAGGCTTTCGTTTAACGCCAAAGAAGACATTTTGTAAAATGCCATCTCTTTCTTCGAGATGCCACTCAATGTGTTTAATGTTCTATTAGCTTTTGAAATCGCAGCTTTTATGTACCTCTGATAATTTTGAGAATCGAATTAGCGTCAAATACGAGAACGACAACGACGATGATGAAAACGAGAAAATCGATGACGATTAAGACGACTACGACGACGAATGATAAAAGTCGTTTTCGCGAGAGATTGTTTTTATTAGATTATATTCGTTCGATCGTCTAGAAAAACAGTGGATGATCTTGCTAGGATGATCGTAGAAGGTACGAATAAACAGGGAAAGTCACATGCGTTATAGGGATATATATATATATATATATATATATATATGTCTGTCTGTGTATGTGTGTGTGTGTGTGTACGGATTATAGTAAGTGGATTTATTTTCTGAAAATTGTTCTCTCTCATCGAAATAGCGAGAGCTCACCTCATAGCCAAACTAAACATCACGTTCGAGCCTCAATTCAGCCATAGCCGCGTTCTCTTCTTCTTCTTCTTCTTCTTCTTCTTCCTTCCGCTCGTTTCCGATGACAGGAGTAATTACATTTTTATGTTGTTCCGACACAGGGCAGTACGTGACTCGAACGAGATCAATTTGTCCCGTAACCCCGTCGCGTTTCCAATGGTAAATGTTATTTACTCGGAATAACGTCGGACGAGAAAGTAAGGAAGAAAGGAAAGGAATGAAAGTAAGAAAGAAAGAAAGAAAGAAAGAAAGAAAGAAAGAAAGAAAGAAAGAATAAAAGAAAGAAAGAAAGAAAGAAAGAAGGAAAGAAAGAAAGAAACGTAGAGACGAAATAACGAAATGCAATTGTACCGATAGAAACGATGCGATGTACGAGCTATCTTTTCTCTCTCTTTTTCTTTCTCTCTCTCTCTCTCTCTCTCTCTCTCTTTCTCTTTTTATCTGCTTTTTTCTCTCTTGTACGTTTAACTTTTATTTAAATATAATATATTCTATTTAAATCGTTATTTAATCTGTCAGTCATTCTATCTCTTGTTTATTGGAACCCTTTAACGACTACGCGTTTGATATTTGATTCAATGAATTCGATTGAACAATTGCTGAATAGAAAATTGAACAAAAGGATGGATATTATAGTTAACGATTATTATCAATAGGGAAAAAAAAATATCGTCGATATTAATTGTAATCTTATATTTTTGACTGTATAATAGTTAACGTAAAATTTCTCTTACAATGAGGATTATTAATTTATCGATTCTAAGCATTCTAGCAAGTATGAATTTGTGCCGTCGATACGAATTAGAACAGTCAGGAGCGCATCGGACTCGGCTTTCGGAAGCGATCATCGCCGATGCTTAACGCAACCTACTCTCCTTATATATATGTATGTATATATGTATGTATGTATGTATGCATATATGTATGTACATCGTGTATATCGGAGTTATGCGCAGGATCGATCGATCGATATAACGATCGATACAACAATGATCGATCGATTGATAGATCGATTGATCGATCGATCGATCGATCGATCACTTTGAACGTTAAGCCCGAAAGGCCGACAGGCTTTAAGTGGATCGTTCATAATCCGAGAAAGGTCCAAGCATCGAACGATTTAGCGTGCGATCTCGCGTATCAGAATTTGCTACATCCTCGACGATTTTCCAATCGGATCGGCTGACATTATTGATTCTCTCTTCGTTCGGCTCTTAAACTCGTGAAGAGATAGATAGATAGATAGATAGATAGATAGATAGATAGATAGATAGATAGAGAGAGAGAGAGAGGGAGAGAAAGAGACAGAGAGTGTCTCGAAGACAATCCCTGTTAAAGGAGTAACACGAAAGAAGAACCATGTTACTCTCTGCCATTAATGAAGATGAACGGTACATCGTTATTAATTATCCTCGACCATCTCCCTCCCGAATGTTAGTAATTATAACTAATGCACCAAGTGAAATTAATAAAATGCGTGAGAACTTTGTACATTCATTTAAGTCTTCGGTGGTATCGCCGAGTCTCAGGCGCCCGGAACAAATTAATTTTCACTTTTGCACACTATCTTAGGATACGTATAGAAGGCGCGAAGAAGTTTTTCGTATCACGATTAAAAATCGGTTTAATTGTCTTTTTAGGAATAGTTAAATGTCTATATAAATCGATGAGAACATTTTGAACAGAACGTATCAGAATATGTATATATATATATATATATGTATATATTGTATGTAAACGCGGCATATTGTCGATGGACAAATTCGAGGTAAAAACTTTTTACTACGAATGAGTGCGTAAATTTTTTTTATCAAGACGTTGATCTGTGATTATTCAACGTAAGCTTTTAAGAAAGAGAGAGAGAGAGAAAAAGAGAGAGAGAAAGAGATGATGATAGATAGAGATATAGAGAGAGAGAGCGAGAGCGAGAGAAAGAGAGAGGACGAACTATCTTCTTAGTATCCCAAGAGACATACATAGTCGACTATGAGAGGCGTGAAAGGTTGAAGGACTCTAAGCGTGGAATCTTCCTCTTTCTCTTATAAAGAGAGAGAGAGGGAGAGAAAGGGAAAGGAAGAGGAAGAGGGAGAAAGATAGCGACAGAGATAGAGAGATAGAGATTAGGCTGTTCCTGTGGCAAAAGAGACGAGAGAATATAACCGTGGAGGTATAGCAGAGAGATAGGAGGATTCGTGCGAGGAAGAAGAAGAAGGAATATCCGCGTATGGCGAGCATTTGCGGAGTTGAGTAGCATCTTGAGTTATTCAAGAAAGTCAGCTTAGCGTGGCCGGTTCTCCTCTTCACTCGTACCCGAGCTTGTTATCTTGTGTTGTATTCTCGGTACAGTAGTTCCTTCTCTCGCGTTGATTTTCTTCTCTCGTTATGGATTAGAATGGATCTTCTTTCCTCGTCTTCGTTCGTTTTTACGACCTTTCCTCGATGATATTAACAAAAGTAACCAACCGGTGATTCTTCTCTCTTTCCCTCTCTCTCTCTCTCTCTTTCTCTCTCTCTCTCTCTCTCTCTCTCTCTCTCTCTCTCTCTTTCTCATTCGTATCGATGAAACGAAACGAATAAAAAAGGAAAAGGAAAGTGGAAGAGGAAGAAGAAGAAGATGAAAAGGAGAGGGAAAAGAAAAGAAAAGAAAAAAGAATGAAAAAGAAAAGAGAAAAGAAAAAAAAAAGAAAAGGAAAGGCATTCCCCTTCGAACACATTGCTTCCCTTAACTTAAAATAGTCTACGCGTCGGCATGCATCGTTCTTTCGAGCGGGTTTCCCTTCACTTCTCCCTTTTGCGCTTCTTTCACCATCCACACGATCTTCTCCTTCCATTTTACTATACATATATATATATATATATGTACACATACATATATGCATGTATATATATATATGTATATAAGGTACTGCTTCTCTTGGACGACCTTCGCGTCGCCTTCTCTTGTCGAACTTCCGAGCGAGAAACGAGAAAGTATAAGAGGTACAGGTTGTCTGTGCACACACCCCGTGCACACACCCGTCTCGAGACGACTATGTTTTTATTCAATGGAAATAAATAACACCCTTTTTATTACTTCCCTATTTAATCGTCTCTCTTATAAATCGTATATAAGCGATACGTCGAAATACAACGAGATAAATAATTACGACTCCGTAATAAGATAAGATATTTCGAGATATATACGTTGAAATATTTCTTCATTAATTAGCGCCACCCCTATTCGATTTTCTACCATTAAACTGAGCGATACACGTGAAAATGAATGATCCATTGATATTCAATTGCACCTATCTATGCCATTTTTTTTCATTTCGCGAGATATGCATCGAAGTAAGATTCTATTTCATTTTGTTACAGAAAGGTTAAACGTGTAAATTTTTACGCGAAAGATACACAGCTAACTCTCTCATCCCCCTTTTGCTTTACCCTCCCTCTCTTTGCTTTTTCATCCAGTCTCTCCTCTCTCTCTCTCTCTCTCTCTCTCTCTCTCTCTTTCTCTATTTCTCTCTCATTCGCTCGTCCGCTCATCCCATGGCCTTTATATTCCCTCTCGGTCCATCCGGCACCGGCCACTCTCGCATTTACTCGTAGCAGTAGCAGCAACGGTGTCAACGGAGTAACCGAACCACTCGGTGCTCATGAAGAGGAGAGAGAGAGAGAGAGAGAGAGAGAGAGAGAGAGAGAGAGAGAGAGAGAGAGAGAGAGAGAGAGGGAGGGAGGAAGAGAGGAAGAAAGAGAGAAAGAAAAAAGAGAGAGAGAGAGAAAGAAAAAGAGAGTTGAGGGAAGGGTGAAGAGGAGGAGAAGAGGGGGGAATAGAAAGGGATGGAGAGACGACAACGAGGCTGCACACGCAATAGAGATGGATAGATAGATGGAAAGAGAAAGAGAGAAAGAGAGAGAGAGAGAGAGAGAGAGAGAGAGAGAGATAGATAGAAAGAGAGAGAAGGTAGATAGTACACGGAGTATAGAGAGAAGGATGAAAGAAGAGAGGAGAGGAGACGAACCGCGTCTTCATTATGCTAATGCCGTGCAACTACAGCTGACCGTGGCCAAAAATAGATGTAGATATCGTGGGATGCTGAGTCGAAACCTCGAGGGGGTTTTTAGCCGTCCTTCTCGCGCTATCTGGCCTTCTTCCTCTTCGTTCGCGCGCGCGGCGGCAGTGGCGTTACGTCTGTTTCTCGATTCGAGAGATTCCCCGGTACAATCCTGGAATGAAATGGTTCCGAGGGTGAAGATCGAATCGCTTTTTCCCTATTCGTGCTTTACACCGTTGAAAATTTCTCTTCTTTCTCTCTCTCTCTCTCTCTCTCTCTATCTCTATCTAATCTATCTATTTAACTATCTTTCTTTTTTCATCTTCTCCTTCTTCATTCTTTTTTCCTCTCTTTTTCTCTTTACTCTTCTATTCTCCTATCACCTTTCATCTCTCTCTCTCTCTCTCTCTCTCTCTCTCTCTCTCTCTCTCTCTCTCTCTCTCTCTCTTTTTACTCCATTTTCTCCGACGTTTTTTCCTTTATAAAAGACACGCTCATTAGCCTCACCTTTGGCATCAACCGCAACGATTTTAAGGGGAAGCTTTTTTAGCCTTCCTCCCGAAGAGCAGGAAGAAGAAGGAGGAGAATGTGGAAAAGGAGATGAAGAGGTTCGAGATGCCGAATGGTTTTACTGTACTTCGTGTAATATGATTTCCGCTGCGGTCGAACGAAAACAGTGTATATATAGTTTTCCCTCGTGTATTTTGGATGTAGTAGAGTATATATATATATATATATATATATATATATATGTATTCTACTATATTGGTATATGTGTATACGTTTTGTCCACGTTTACTGAATATACTTACACGTAGGAGAGTCAATGGCTGATAATTAAGGTTTTTGGCTATTTCAATGACAATAGAGTATAATACGGCGAATGCTTTACCATATTAAGGTGGCATCCCGCAGAGAAGATATCACGAGATAATTCTATTCGTTTGATACGCCGCGTACATATTACGTATAAAAGGTTAGGATTACCGTAAAACGTTTTTCCTTCCAATACGGCCAGGCCCGCCGTTCCCGTTCCGTTAGCTTCATTCGGGATTTGCCCTCGTTTGCTTTCAATGGCGAATATGTTAATTACACTTTAAACGTGAACAGGAAATGTTGCATAATATTACTCCCCCCGGTAACAGAACAGGGAGTACACGTTGAATCTCGCTACGTTTCATCATTTTGGAATCTTATTCATAATATTACTGGCGAATGAAGCTAAATGTATGTATATATAATTGTGTATCTGTGTATGTGTAAGTATCTATGTATAATATCTATATAAATACATACGTATATCTATGTATATGTACGTGAACCGGCCATTTTCGGTGGTAGACTTTTGGAATCCGGTTTGTGAAAAACGATGAGTATATTCCATCGTGGTATGCCGTGACTATAATCATAAAAATTCATCTGCGTTTAAATCGGATAAAAAAAGAAAGGGAGAGAGAGAGAGAGAGAAAAGAGAGAGGATAAGAGAAAAGAGAAAGAAAGGACTCGTTATAGAAAAGCATCGAGATAGCATGGATACATAAGTCGGGGTAGGACAAAAACTCGATGAACGTTATTTAGAAATTTGCGATAAAATTATATAATAAATAAAAAAGTTGGCTATTAAATAACGAAATGTATCGGCTCTCTCTATTTTTTTTTTTTTTACCGCCGAATGCCGTCTTTCGAGAACTATAAATCGTTCGATAAAAGCATACTCGTATGAACGCGCGGTCAGAAAAGCCAACGGAGTCAAAGGGAGAATCGTTCTTCGCAAGTACTCGCTTCTCGTTTCGTTGGACTTTCTTCTTCTCTCTCTCTCTCTCTCTCTTTCTTTCTTCCTCTATCTCACACACAGAGACACATAGCATATATAGACATACCTATACTCCTTTCCTTCTTTTTACGTTCACCGTAACATCCATAATGCACGTATACGCGTATGTTGCAGATACAACATAGACGTGTACCCATCGAAAGTAGTAACAATATCTCGGAGGCATGTCGATAGAAGCGACGAGATTCGAGAGTATAGTTACGAACGTACGTAGGGTAGGTATGTATCTTTGTATGGAAATGCATATATATATATATGTATGTATGTGTGTATATGTGTGTAGCTACGCCCTGAAAAGATCGAGTAAAAGGCAGAAAGAGAGAAGAAACGATAGCGCGGGGACGGGGAAAAGATAGGCGACGGGCGGCCGGTCGTAAAGAAAAGAAGGAGAGAAAGAAGCGTAATGTAGTGAGTCAGCAGTTTTTGTTAAAAATTTATTCGGTTCAGCTTTGCGAGAAATATCACCTCGTGCTCTCTCGACGTTCCGTATCACACCTTTAACGGCTGCTTCTCTCTCTCTCTCTCTCTCTCTCTTTCTCTCTTTTCGTCTATCTATCTATCTATCTATCTATCTATCTATCTATCTCTTTCTAACATCCAAGCCACCTCGTCTCTACACCATCTTCAGAATCTTTCTACTCTATCTATCTTTCCCTTCTTTCTCTGGATATTACATGGCAAAGTCTTGCTAGAGGGTCGATCTCGAACGCGCGTAATTCGCAAACTGTCCATTCATTTTTCAACGTTACAACAAAGTTATATGCACGTTTCCTAGAGACAAATAATTTCTATTCCATAAGGATCAACCCCTTCAGTAGCATCGAATTATGTGGATATACGTATACGTTGCTTATACCGTAGAGAAATAGATAACGTGGAATACGCAAACTTGAGTAATCTCTCTTTCTCTCTCTCTCTCTCTCTCTCTCTCTTCTTCTTCTTCTTCTCTCTAGGATAAGAGGTTCGAGTGAGCGTAAACGTTTCTCGTTTCGTTCGATCGATCTTTGAAATTTCGCCGCTCGAATTCCGTCGTACTTAACTACGTCTATATGTTCGGACGATTCATAGATCTCTCTCCCTCTCGCTCTCTCTTTCTCTCTTTCCTCTTCTCCCTCTTTCTACTTCTCCTGAAGGCGAAGATTCCTAACGTGAACGAGTTGCCGTTCGTTGTTCGGCTTATCGGAAGCAACGACGCGCGACCGCGACGCTTCCGCTTCCGCTCGGCTACTATCGCGACTCCCTAGAGGAACAATTTTAAAGAGGAGGGAAGAAAGGAGGAATGGTAAGGAAGGTGATAGGAGAAGAGGTAGAAGAGGAAGGTAGTTAGTAAGTTTCCAAGGTGAAAGGATCAATTCGGAGTCTCTGAGCTGATGCCTTTTCTACGAATTGCCGTAGACATGGCCGATCAATAATCATACCACTAAGAGTATTTTCAAATTCTTTTAATACAACACAATTCTTGAATAACTTCTTCTATTTCTCAATATATCGAATGATACGATAATTGTGTTACTTGCATTCCAACGTGAAAGATAATAAGACTGTGTCATGGATAAAAATCACTAACACTTAAAAAGTTCTCATCGAGAAGTTTTTTTTTTAACTCGTTTATTAAATATATGACGAAACGAAACATTTTGCTTTTTCTACTTTTTTTTTTTTTAAGGAAAAAAAAAAAGGAGTATTCGCTCTCCTTTCCGAGCGATATCAGAATCGATTCAAATATAAATGAGAGAATTAAACGTTTTACGATACGCACGTAAACTGTTCTCCTTAACGTTTATATTTCTCTTTTTTTTTTTATTTTTTTTTTTTTTTTTTTTTTTTTTCAGACAACCGATACAATTTTATCGCATAATATTATTAAAACGTGTAAATCTAATAATCTCTACGAACATCTAAATAATTCTTAATTCGCGATTTACGTAACTGGAAACGACCAAAACGTTTTCCAATGTTTCCCGGAAGAACAATAAATTGATCTACGATCGGCTACTCTCGATCCTACGATATCATGATAGACGAACTCTCGCGACTGGTGGGAAGGATACACAGTGGTCCTGTTTTATCGGCAGACAGAATCTTAC